CGAGACATGTTCTTGAAAAGTTAGTGGTATTAAATGAATAGTAGAATAGTACCCTTAACCCCCTAAAATTACACACGTACTCCAGCATTTACCAATGATATACAGCAACAGGAACACACTGAAGATTAATGAGCACACTGAAATGTACCCACCCTCCCTATTTCTGTGCCACTTGTACTCAAAATTATGGCCTAAACTCACAGGCCCTGCATCCCAGGAATCAGTAAGCAGTGCCAAAGAATCCTTCTTAAGTTATAATTACAAGATTTCTGTTTTGCCATCCACTTCAGGGGCAGACAAATGGGATATCAAGATGCCAGCTCTTTAGTATTGGATGGAAACAGGACGAGATCACTAATTGCAACTAGTAAAATAATGAAAAATTTAAAACATTTTCTATAAACTGCTCTCATTTTCCAGTGCATCATAGCTACTGCCTGCCCTACGGAAGTCTTCATGGGTTTGTAATTAAAGTTTTACTGAAAAAGTGGAAATATATTTCTAAGAAAATATACTTTGGAGTACCAAAAATTAAAAGACACTTTTATCAAAGTAGGTGCAGTCCAGCATCAGATGAAAAGTGGTTTAGTTAGGTTTTTTATACTTTCTTTTGTTTTTGTCACAGTAATTGCTTTATATGGTTCTATGAAATTTTAAATAAATTCAGAATTATAAAGGGAGTAACTTCCCTCCCTTATGCAGTAGTAAAAAGAAGGCTGACGGCAGTAAATTCCATTTTCTTACATACAATAAAACCCTTGAGATATTCCTATTAATAAGCACTGACAAATGCAGAGGAAAAAAAATAAAATAAAGACCTGAGTAAAGCTTTAGGAAGAAGGGGACTTATCAGTTCTGGAATTCTTCCGGGTATGACACAGGTTGCTGCAGACATAAAGCCATAGGACATAAAGTCCTTGCTTCAGGGTTCTGTGATATAAAATATTCATGGTGTATAATTTTGCATAATTTGTTTAGCTACTGAAGCATAATTTAGTTCCTTGGTGCACAGATACAAAGAAAAGAATGAAGGAAAGAACAAAATACTTGACCAAAACTAAAGAGTTTTACTGTTCTGTTGTGTGTGGTGTATGAAAACACCCACATGCACACAAACTAGCCTTTAGATATTACAAATAAAAAGGTATTTAGAGATATCAACATCTTTAACGTGTTTGGTGTTAGATTCTGAAGCTTTTGTCCATTTGCTGAAGAAACTAGACTTCCCCCAGCCTCATGCTGCTTTCAGAAGTATATTTGAGCATAGTCAAGCCCCAGGTTCAGAAAGCATTTTCTGTATTCACCAGCTCTAGGCTACTTCCTACTTGCTCAAGTGCTCTGTATACAAAGAAAAAACACAGCTGTAAAGAATCCAAGAAATGTTGTGGATAGGGTATTCAAAGGTATCGGTATTTCAGCCTAATTTCCCTTTGAGCTAAATCTAATGTGAAATGAACTCTGCAATCCAGAACACAAAGTCACACACTTTACCCTGGATTTCCAAAATCAACCCCAAATCCAGTGTCGCCCATGACAAATCCACAGCCTCTTTCTGACAGTGACTCTGCACCAAAGTCCAAGTGACTCAGTTCAAGAGAACAACAGAAAATAAGAACAGGTACTCCTTCCTTTTTAACCACTCTCACTTTTTTCACACTTTTATTCAGTTGCATAATAAAATCAATTGCAAGAAACGGCCTACACTTCCAGAACTCACACTTAAAACTACGACATACAACAGACAGGCAACAAGAGTGGCAACAAGATAATGAGGGTCTATGGTAGTTTTTTCTTTTACTGAATTTGTGTGTTCTGCTTTTTAAAAAATCAGTTATTTGAAGTAGATAGTTAAAAAGTGTAACTTTTTTCCTTGCACAGAGACAAAAAGATTACCGACAGTGTTGCTGTGCATCAAAGTCTGTTAATTGTTCTTCCAACATATGCAATCCCTTGGAAAAACTTCAGTAAACATATATAGATAGACAGGTATTAGAAGGACTTACAGGATAAACATTTTGGGCGATTGATTTTCCATTGGTTTTCCATATTTACTGTTAAAATACTTTTACAGCCATCCATAAATTGTAACAGACTTTATACTTTCTAATAATGGCTACATCTCAATTCTTTCTTCTCTTACTCCAAACACATTTCACAGGGAGTTTGGCCCAATCCAGAGCTTTTCAATTAGGGCACTACCACATATGACATGTAAATAAAACTACCAACAGTAACGTACATTACATCAAAAGGAAGAAGTCTCAAAAGTTAATAAGGGAGTTGTGCTTGTCCATTTCCTTCAAAAACAGATCAAACTGATTATTTAACTACGTTTAGAACTTCTCAGATACCCCATCTTAGTTCTTATGAAACTCATGTGGATAGACAGACAGATTGACAGATGCATTGCTCTGCTCTTCCACTTTAGCCACTGAAGCCATGGAGAGAGCTCCTCATTTCCTGTCACAGCACAACAGAGCCCAACACTGGGGAAAAGAAAGGATTAAAATCATCATGAAACAGGCTGCATTCATTTGATTTTGAAAGATACTTCCTTGAATTCTGATGCCTTCTTATACGGGAAATTACTTCTGTGTATTTATTTGCAAACTAAGTTTACTCATGTAAAGAACACCAATTTTTTTCCATTATACCAGCTTAAATATAACTAGTTTACAATAATCTGTAAGGTCAAAGGATGAGAAAAAACCCCAACCCAATAATTGAAACATGGTTTGATTTTACTGGTATGTAAAAAACTTTGAAACAGGAAACCATCTATTGAGTGCAATCCCAAATGAGTTTGTGACCTGCTAGCGCCAGAGGGAACATAATATTTTCGTGCAAAATTACTTTGCTATCATTTTTAATTCATGTAAAATTCAACTAGTATGTAAATCAGATGGGGGGGGGAAGACAGAATGAGTAAACACACAGTAGAAGTTCCTTCAAATTTTCTTCATAGTCCCTAACCAGCAGATCAAACGTGACCGTTTCCAAGTTAACTGCCAGTGAGTTTTGGCTTTGTATCTCAAGAAGCTCTGGGAGCAAGAATTACTTGGGGTTGGTCAACCAGCAGCAGCATACATATTGCTTGCACTTACCATCTCTTTGCAATAGAAGAGAGTGATAGTATATAACAACAGTTATTTAAAGCTTTTTGGAAAATCAAGTCACTATTGCTGAGTGTTTCTATACCTCAGGCTATATGGAGACAAATTAAGTGCTGATACCGAACTCTACCATTTTGTTTTATTTCACTACGATGGGCAGGCTGGGAGTTACCCAAGACAAGGAATGTAGCCATAACCCTTCTTCATGGTAAACATATAATTTCCCCTGTGATCCAGTAAGCAATAACAAGAAGTTATGTGTAGTACATATAGTGTTTAAATTCCCCTGGGTTTAATATGGCTTACAGTAAAATTGATTTTCTGGAATCTCGCAATAAACCTCATCAAAGTAAATGAAACCCACGCTGGTTTTTTTTATAAAGTGATTGGATTCAGGGTGATAAATAAACCCTCAACGTCAGAGAGACTCCCAATAATGCACTTGCTCAATTAAACTCCTTCAGACTCCGTTTAGATTTTAATTTTTCTATAGGACTTATTTAACTCACGCAAAGCTTCCAAAGCTTCCAGAAAGGATAGCAGCTGAAAACTAGTCTTCTCAGACTACAGATCAACCTGATTTATATTTGCTGACCACTTGTTTGACATTGTTCTCTAATCTATATAAAAACCCCTCACTGATAGCTACTCATATGCAGTAGAGTGAGGAGTAGGAAAAAAAAATACTTTCTGCTTACTAAGAGTTCCTAATCAAACACCAGAAACTGAGAAGGATTTAATAATTTAAAACTTTTGTACACATGTGAAATCAACTTCTGTAAGAGATGTCAGGGCAAAATCCAATGGATATCCTGCAATATCCAACAGAAGCCTGGCTCACACTGCACTATCCCTTCCCAACAGATGATTTTCACTTAAAATAACCACCTAGACCTACCAAGGCAGATGGTTCCTAATTCTTTGCCAGTCTTCCACTGTTCAGCTCCCATCTCAGCAGGAAGGAAAATGTGTAAAAAAAAATAAATTCAAAGTGACCTTCCCCAACATTCCTCAACAGCCTCTAGTGACTTAGTCAAATAAAAAAGTGCCTGATGTCTATTCACAGCTACCGGGCAATATGTATGAAAACTATTTTCATTGCCATATTTATTCCTGGTTAAATGAAAAAATTATTCATTTAACCAGGAGTAAAACCTCTGAGATTTTTTTCTCATTTCCAAGCCTGTCTAGGGAAAACATGCTGCAGTAAACAATCATGCCCTATTTTATTCCTACTTAAATGAATTATCATAATAATAATTACTAGCAAAAACATCTGGTTTCTACTCAGCACAGACGGCAAATTCTTTGACACATTGCTTGCATTTCACCTTCTTCTTAGTCTCCAGGCTGAGGGTCTCTGGCTTTTTTTAGACCACTATACATGCCAACCACACAGCATGCCTGATGGTACAGATTTATGGAGACACTGCTGATGACCACAGAATGCTTCCTCTGTTTTTTCTGCCTCTGGAAAATTATGTCTTTGTAATAATATCTTCTCTTTAGAGCATTTGTCTGCTTTTTATACAGATGACATTTGCATGTAAACAAGTTCTTGCTGTTCTTCTTCAGTACTAAACAACAGACAAGAAAAGTAATGTTCCCTTTTACATCACATTGGCCTGTTATTGTAGAATTTTCCTGAAGTCACTATTTCAGGTTTTGAATTAGAAAATGGGGCTATCCAACAGAAGCAATTTAACTTTCAATTCAATTAATATTTTTGCTCTACAGAAGGTTTTCATTTTTATAGAAAACAGAAAAGAATTCAAATCAACTCATTTATCACTGTGAAACTTTGAGCAGTACTAATAATTAAGTACACTAACAGGATCACCTTTTGCATTTCCATAACACCTTTTATCAGAGGTCCTGCATTTGGGGCTCCTTGAGTTTCTCTGCCTCCACCAAACAATGCTGGAATGGAAGGGAGAGCTCAAACTCAACAGCAGCCATGGTCCAAGCAACACAGAAGTATGAAATAGCTGAGGATGGGCAAGGGACTATATGAAGTGAAATATTACCTGCTGTCATTATTTCTGCACACTTTTGTTCAAGGTACAAGGGGATGTAAAGCCCCTGAGAGCCTCATTGGATTTTATGGGGTGATATGTATGAAGAAGCCTTGACAGGGCCCCAAAAAAGACTAGAAAGAGGTTAACATATCACTTAGGAACCATGAGGTTTAAAAGACTTTAAATCTTAAAATCTTTACTTTGGGTAGCCATTCAGAATCTCTGGCCACTGGTGCTATGCAAAGTTTCTCAGTGGAGCAGGAAGCTCTAGTGGAGGGACAGGCATTTACTTTGACAGTGGGGCTGCAGCACAGTCTGCTACAAGCAAACTCGGCATGCAGCACAGTCTTATCCAAAGGATTCTGACCGGCAGTCTCTGGCATTTCACCTTCATTTAATGGCCACATTTCTCACCTTTCATCCTCTTCAAGCCTGGGGAGTTGCCTTTTCCCAAGCAGAGCCAGTGGGCAGGGTGCCCATTGCCCACCTACAGCCCTGCTGTGCAGGCAACAGTGGGGAGGGCACACAAATGACTCTGCCCCTTGCGTGTTAAAGGCCCCTCACTCGTGCCCACAGCTGTCTCAGGGCTGCTCTGCAGTAAATACTTCGTCTGTATTGGTGGGCATGTATCAGCTGTAAAGCAGCCCTCAGCTCCTTCTGGACTTCAGGGTATGCCAGGTCACCCCCAACCTCCCTTCCTTGCCACAGGGACTCCTGTGCCAGAAGCACAGAGGATATTTGCCAGAGCTTGGCTTGCAAACAATTTATCAATATCAAGCAATTTTGGATGTCCAAGCGTTTGAAAAAGTAAATAAATATTAGTCTCACTTCATAAATGGAAATGAGAAGCACTGAGACATTCAGTAATATATACAGAGAGAGCCAAGAGCAGAGTTCAGGGATCTGGACTTCTCTGACCACTCCTGCAGGGGTCCCATTTATGTTTTTCAAATAATCTATTTATACAGGCCATTGTTCTGCTGGCCAGTTCCTGCTGAGCTCACTGATGTAAATATTTGGTCTGGGTTCCCAGTGATCTTGCCCTGCAACCTGTCTGGTGTCACTCACAGAACATGGCTTAGCTCTGTACCCACTGAATATAGTCAGTATCATCTGGATTATGTCCCTGTTTTAATCACAAATACTTACCCTTTTTTTCCACCTAAATTAAGGTTAATTGCAACTGCCCATGATATGTAAGTTAATCATCATTATCTCAAGTTCATAAAGTCACTCTTACAGGAAAGAAGCAATTAAAATCAAGCAGGTATTCACTTAATAATAAAAGGCCTATAAGAACACACGGGTCAATATATTTAAATGTTTTTGGCAAATGGCTACAAACCTTATTAAATGTTTTATATTCTTTATATCTTCTTTATATATTCTCCTGTGAACTTTTGAATATATTTACAGCTTACAATATGCGATCAAGACAATAAGACATTGTATTTGATGAGAATCTTTACCTAGAGAATAACCTAGGCTCCCGAGTATGAGTCAACTGATTGGTATCTAACTGCAGGTCTGCATTAATAGGAAAAGTACAACAAGATTTTTCTACAAAAGATTATGTTAAGCATATGAAAAGTATAATTTTTTCAGCTATGATTATTTGGTTATACTTTGGTTTAAGACCCTAATCTGCAGGCCATACTAATATAAATAACCTCATGGATTCAACTACTTATGCAAGTGAAGGCTGCAGTATGAAATTATCTGTTCTAAGAAGAAATGAAAACTAAATAGAAATAGAGTCTTCATGATCCTAAAAGAGAAGTTAATCAGAGCCAAACATGCATTTCAGAGGGAAACAACTTAGGATTCATCCTTGCCAGTACCAAAGCAACCTCAGGTTGCTTTCACTTTCCAAAGGAAATTAAAAAAAAAACAAACAAAACGACCACATTATATTTTTACTTGCTGTTTTGGAATATGTCCATTTTACTATGTTGTTTTTCATACAGGGCAAAGAGTCCTCTGTTGAGTGGCTTGATTTTTCTACTTCATTTCACAGATGAAATTCCAGTGGCCCTGATCTTAAAAAAATTAGTCATTTTATAGTGTTCTCAGACACCGCAAAATTTTCAATGACTAAGCTTTGGGGCTGTATTTAGGAACATATGTCAATAACTCATATAACATCAGGTACACCTGAGAGTATATTCATCAGTGTTTAAATCTAGCATCCTGGTCCATTTACCACCCTGCATTATTGCACGGAGTGTACCTGTAAATATAAGAGCTTCCTCAGAGCAGTCTGCACACTTCATAGCAGGGTAATTTCTACAGAAAACCTTCATACAGATTGACAGGGAGGAGAGAGAAGAAAATCGGGGGAGGCAACTGCTCTACTGTGAGGTTCACTTAGAATCCATGTGAAAAAAGCAAAACCAACCAAACAGAAGGTCTTTCTGGATGTAGATAGTGGCATGCACAGGCTAAGGTTACAATAACTTCACCTACATTTCTTTGCACTCTTGCATTCCTTTAGAAAGCATTGCAAGGACTGCTTTGGTAAAAACTTGAGAATCACAACTTCTGTGAGAGCGGGAGTCAGCCCCAGGACCTGTGTGGCATGGCAGCAGACATTCCACCTCTACAAAGCACACAACAAAAAGTGTGACACTAAGAAATTTGCAAAGACCTTCACTTTCTCATTCTAATCCCATGATAAAATTAGATTCAATTAGTAGGCTAAATATCCAATAACAACAGACACTACTTTTGCATAAAATCATCAATAAAAACCATAAAAGATGAAGGCCAAAGATGAGTCAAGCCCAGCTGACCCAAAAAAAGATTACTCTGTTTGAAACTGGTTGTCTGTAAATAGCAATTCTCGAACCTCCACATTTTCTAATAATGCACTTTTGTACACAAAGCATTTTCTTCCACACTGGCATCAACAGAACACTCAGCATTGCTGAATATCAAACTGCTTCTATTTATATGCCTAAGCATCGATTTAGGAGCCTATTTTAAGCAGCTCAGTCTGAAAAGGTTTCCATTTTCTCCATAATAAATGGCTGTATGCAGCACTAGTGTTCTGTCAAAATGTATGGCTTGAGTAGACAAGTGAGCCCCAATAAACTCTATCCAGATGCCCACTCATCTTCTTTCTATCTTCCCCTCTCCCTCAAAGGTTCCTTTGATTTCTAGATTCATGTGAAGCATTCAACATTTACTGTGAGACAGTCCAGAACAGAAATGTCAAGAGTCTGCCAGTGGAGGGACTGTCTCCTTCTCATACACAATGGTGAGCCAGGCTGAGTTTAGGGGTGCAGCCTGGTGGTTTCATTCTCTCTCTAGTCAGATATGGGCTGCCTCTTCCAATAAAGCTGAGGCTTCCCAGTTACATAGCAAGGAAAGGATACAACTGCTCTGGGACGAGCTGGGCTATGCAGAAAAGGGTGTTTTTTCGGGTACGAGGGCTGGAGGCAGTTAAGGCGATAAGCAGATCCTTTAAGAAACCTTGGCCAGAGTACACCCGGTGAAGAAATCAAGTGCAACATTTGGGGAGGAGTTATGGAAGTGGGAAGTCAAACATACACATTATTAAAAGCAGGAAAGTTTGGAACACAAACAGCAATACATGAATGTAGGGAAGTACAGATAATGGAGAGGCGGTGAAAAGGTGAAAAGTGGGATAGGGGTGAGGTAAGACAGCACAGGCAACTGGTTAATAGAGCAATGGACTATAATGGAGGAAGGTTCCTCAAACTAGAAAAAATTGTAGTTTGAAGGTGACTTCAGCTTCACTGGGAGTTGGAGGGAAAATCTTTTTAAAAACAACATGACTCAGGAGGGAAAGAGTCCTCTCAGTGAAAGGAAAAGGATGGTCTCCTGCCCTCAGACAGGGGCAAGAGAGAAAACCTGCCCACAGGAGGGCCTTTTGTTCACACATCAAAGGAAAAGGCAACTCTGGGAATGACAGAACAAGCCCAGGGATGCAATGCACTGTCATCACACTCTACTGGAAAGAATCACAGAATATTCTAAGTTGGAAGGGAACCACAAGGATCATTGAGTCCAACTCTTGCATGAATGGCCCATGCAGGGATCAAAAACACAATCTTGGTGTTATTAGCACCATCCATCTAACAAGCTCAGCTAATCTCAGGGTTACCATACCCATCTGGCAGCAATGGTGATGGCAAACCCTACCAGTAAAAGTCAGAGCTCCCTCATTACCAAATTTGCAGCATCACTCCCAGGCACCCATGACTGCAACACAGGGCTGGTTCTTACCTACAGAGCAAGTGGCTAATAGAAACTTTAATCACAATTAACAATACCTTACCTTACTCATTAGGAGTCTTATATTATCACTAGATAACACATACAAGCTCAAAAGAGCTTTCTCCTGATGTGGTTGCAATGTGGAACAAGATTTTTAGTGATTTTCAGAACATAACTCCTTCTTGGGATTCTCTCATTCTTTCAAAGAGAGTTGGCAGTACCAAGGGACAAGAAAATTGATTTAAATGTCTTGCCAGGACACACTTAGGTGGACTGGGAAAACAGTCTTGCCTAATCAAGAAATTCAAATATCAAACCTGTTGAATTCGCTTTTGAAATTTGTTGCAATGCTAATTCTAAAAACAATAATAGAAGTCTGTCTGATTACTTCCCTTCTAGAGAACATATCTGTACTTGAAACATGTGACATACTAACTTCGAACTAGAAAATATCTTTAAATAGATAAATGACATACAGATTTCCTCCTCCATGCAATTGCTCTGGCAGAGATTCCAGCAACTTTTCTCAAATGCCCGCAGCAGGGAAGATACAAACTCTTCCCTCTCCCCTGCTCTTTCTTCCATCTGAATTTCAGCAGCTCCTGCTCAGACCAGGTAACACAATGAACTGGACACCAGACTGTCCTATTTGTCACTCAC